CGGCATCATTTTGAAACGTGTATTACAATTAAATCACGGTCAAATATGTTCATCTTGTTGTAGTTGTAGCCCCCTAGCCAGCGCGTCTTGTTTGAATGATGCGAGTAAACACAGCCGGCAGCTGCGGTGAAACTCGAGCGATTAGAGCGACGCGAATATTCGCATCGCGTCCGGTCTGAACCCAATGGCTGATGTTTTCTGGTTGAACGTCCGTGACGGCAGGCTGAGATCCTCACCGCTGATTGACTTCCGCGAGAACGCATCACGTGAATTTGACGCTCGAGTTGAAAAAATTGAACTCTCGCGTTTGACGTGGCACAGTTCAATCGCGCGTGATTCGTGCCGTGTCCACCGCTTCATGCTCGCCGTCGGAGCGAATTTGCGTCTGTCCGCGTCTCTGCATTGACTTTACATGTAATCGCGCCGCCCCCAAACATCGCATCGCGTCCGTTTTGAACGCAGCATAATGTTACGTTCACACCGGACGCGATGCGAATATTCGCTTCGCTCTAAACGCTCCTATCGCATCGCTCTAGTCGCTCGAGTTTCACCGCGGCTGCCAGCTGTGTTTACTCGCATCATTCAAACAAGACGCGCTGTCTCGGGAGCTACAACTACAACAAAATGAACGTGATTAAATTGTAATACACGTTTCTAAATGATGCCGAAGTAACAACATACTGATACCGGTTAGTAAAAACTACATGAATTAATGCTTTGACAAGTCTGCAGACAAGACGGCAGGCGAAAAACCTTTTAAAATGCTTGTTTTCTGAATGGAGATTGGGTCGACCAGGCTAAGCTAACGTTGTATATGCTCANAAACCTTTTAAAAATGCGTGTTTTCTGAATGGAGATCGAATCGATCAGGCTAAGCTAACGTTGTATATGCTCCGTCCACACTCACAACAACGGCCTACAGACATAAATAAACCAGCGACTGTATTCGCCATGACTCAGACAGTCTGTGGTTTGTACTTGTTTAACTTATGTCTAGTTTCTGAACAGATATGAGGAGCTGTGAGCTCTGAGTGCTAACAGCTAACAGCTGCTGTTTTGGTTTTGTGGTTCGCATTGAAGATGACGTCACGGCAGTTTTACACAACGTCGCTCCACCCGTCGAATAGCCGATCGCTCCGCCTACACTGCGTTACTATAGTTACTACCCCTGTTACTAAACTGTAATGGAAACGCAGCATAAATTGAGCCTGGCCTATCAAGGCCTAACCATACCGTACTAAGCCGTGCCAGGTCCTGCAATGGAAAAGCGTCATAATATGGGATGAATGAAGANGCGACTGTCTTCGCCATGACACAGACAGTATGTGGTTTGTACTTGTTTAACTTATGTCTAGTTTCTGAACAGATATGAGGAGCTGTGATCTCTGTGTGCTAACAGCTAATGGCTGATGTTTTCTGGTTGAACGTGAGTGACGGCAGGCTGAGATCTTCACCTCTGATTGGCTTCCGCGAGAAAGCGTCACGTGAATTTGACGCTCGAGTTGAAAAAATTGAATTCTCGCGTTTGACGCGGCACAGTTCAATCGCCTCAATCGCGCCGCGTCCACCGCTTCATGCGCGCCGTCGGAGCGAATTTGCGTATCTAAATTGACTTTACATGTAATCGCGCCGCCCCCCAAACGTCGCATCGCGTCCGGTCTGAACGTAGCATAATATGAACCTGAACATGAGTATAATAGGGTCCCTTTAATAAAGATGTTAATGATGAAAACCAGATTATTGCTAGAAATGTACCGTGTAATACAGTAGTAATCCTAAATGTTATAAGTATTGCTCTACGCTCTAAAGTAGCTTTAGTTCCAAAACTACAATGCTTACCTTGAACACGTGGAACGCCTCAAACTGGATGTTTCGGCTGTTGTCTCTGAGCAGGTTCATCATCAGCTTCAGGTTCTCCGCCCGACTGATGTACTTTGTCATCACAGTGAAGTTGTGCCTATCCAGAAGAAGTTCCCCAAGGAGCTGAACAACAGTATGGAATTTATTGTAAGACCTTTGCGGATACTTCCTTTAGCATACTGCATGTCATACACTGTGAACATCTGTGCAGTGTGTGAATTTCGACCATGTAGTATTTCAAATCAAATCGCATATGGCTGCTGTGCCCTCAACGCAAGTGATGATCGCTGCTGTTAGCTCAACATTGTTGTTCAAGGTAGCAAAACATTACAGATTACGCAATCAACCCAATCAAATCAACTGGGGTTTCTTTTCAAAACCAGCATGGTAGTACGTTAATTAAATACTGAAAAAGAAACAGGTATAACTTTTATTTGTAGAGTGCTGTCTATACCAATGCAACCACAACAGTGGCTGGTTGCGCAACTTTTGTTATGTAGCCAAGATGGCAGTCATTGAGTGTTGAAGGTTCCCACGTTCCATATGCATATTTAGACACAGCACTTGTTAAAGTCAATGCACAATCAACTGAGAGCATATCAGTAAAACAGTGCTTTTCATTTGACTGCAGTGGATGTTCTACCTTCAAAGACTGTCGTTTGGTGACGTAGTTCTCAGAGTGCAGCAGTTTCTCGTATTCTGTAAACACCTGAAGATAAATAAAGGTATATTAGGTGCGTCAAAGGCATTCTCTCCTTTAAAAAGGTCAAAATCCACTGCAGAAATCTCACCCTGTCATAATTGTTCTCCAGGAAATCCGCACACATAATCTTGTGCCTTGTGAGGAGATCCTGAGAGGGAATAGATAAGAGTGAGATATAAGATAAGAACTGTTGGTATGAGGAATATGTCAAACTGAAAGAAAATACAGCAGCGCACCTTAAATGAGGCAAAAGCATCTGAGGCAATGTCAAAGGTCGAGAGCTCTACGTATCGGAAGAAGCAGTAGAAGTCTTCAGAGAAGAGCACCGTCCGTGCCAGAGGCTCGTGACGCAGGCACTCTCTCAGCATCATCCCACAGTTCAGAGCCACTTCTGCACTCTCATATCTGCACAGTTAATGCGTGTCAGGCCAAAGGCAAGTCATTTACATCATCAGCATTCAATACAGTGTAAAACAAACACTGGAAATGTCACTCTTAACACTTTAAACACTGTTAAAGGTGGCGTAGGTAAGAATGGAGAAACCAGCTCGAGTGCGCTAGAATTTGAAAGTACAGGGGGAAAAAAACGGGAAAAACCTGCCACTTCCTTCCAGAGCCTCTCCTCCAACACACACGAACGTGCACATGACCAATGAGGGCACGAGATAAGTTTGTGCACAGATGGAAGGCTGACAGGCAGGTAGGCCATCCAGTTATTTTAGCCGGGCCAGCTAAAATGATTGGTCGTGGTTTTTACAGTACTACGGCTTCCACAGATGACATTTTTTATGTATTTATTGTCAAAGCATTTAAGATATTCATTGCTATCGGGATGTTAAGAGCATTCCATGGAATATAACAAAAAGTGTTTCTGAAATAAATTACATACCCCCACCTTTAATGAGGCATTACATTTGTCAGTAAAAAACGTTGGTGTTATTTCCTATGGTGATGTCTTTTGAAAGTCTTTGAATGTAGACGGTTCACATGCAAAATATATTTTTTAAAAAGAGTGTCTAGCAGAAGAATCATCAGGTTAAACATCAGGTTTAGATGTCCATCTCCGATCACTCAAACTGTTTGTTCCTCTTTCGAGACGTGACATTTAAAACCAAGTTCAAAATCCTGCACAGCTCTTGATTCAATTCTTACAAACTGCGCATATTTTAGCTCTTTTTTTTACAACTTCAATCCTTTTATTGTGTTTATTTATGCGCTGTAATACATCAAAGCAAATTCCTTGTATGTGTAAACCTACTCTAATCTGTGTCCGAAAACAGCAGACTCAATGGACCATAATGCAATGCAGCCGTAACACATGCTGCTCTCCAGACAGGATGACTCAGTTTCTTTAGAGCTGTAAAACCAGCACTACTATCACTCTCTTCATCAACATGCGTTACCCACAGGTGAAGGCAACAAGTTAGCGCTCGTTCCTCTGGGAGTTGTCGAAACACATACTGGGTTATGTTTAAAAAAAGAAAAAAAGAAATCACAGTGCATGTTGAAGAAATGTGATCTTACGAAAAAAGCTTTTTTTTTTTAAAGTACCTAAAAATGATTTGGTTACAGTTTAAGAGTAGTTCATGTTGCTTTTGTAACAGTGCCACACACATTAAAATGTTTCAAAAAGTGACTTCCTGCAGCCTGAAAAGATGAACTTACCCTTTCAGAAGCATGAAGAGGATCTGTTGTTGGGTAGAGATGTATTCTACCGTGGGTGTACGGGTTCCAATCTGACGTCTCACAATATTGCTGAACAAATGAACCACATCCTTCTTCCCCTGTAAAAACAAAAAAGAAAGCACTTAAGAGAGATGAACGGTTAACTGATGATATGCAGCATGGTTTTTTGCTTTGGGCATCGATGTTCAAATCAGGCAGTGGGAGCGCTGCTGACCATTTGGTGTTTGAACAGAGGGATCAATACTTTTAACACACATAAAATCACCGCAGAAAGAGGTACATTTTCCCCACCTCAAAATCAATCCTCTGCAGGTTTGCAATGAGGGCGATGAGGAGGTTGGTGTTGTACAGCTCTTGAGCAAGCTGAGCCACCGCTTCAGTTTGAGGCTCCTTGTCACCTGTTCCACTCAGTACCTCCTTCAGTGAAGCCAGGTTTTTTGACACCTCCTCTGCAACCTTTAATACGAAAAAACAGTTAATGACTAAGACTAGCAGAAGGTGTTAAGAATAATAGACGCAAATGTGAGACCAACCTTTTCACACTTTTTGCTGTCCCCAGCATCCATCTTTTCCATGTATGCCACATTCTCCTTCAAACTCCTCACTATATCAGCTGGACTCTTCTGAGACTTCCCAAACGGAAAAGGCATGACTGAAAGCTGGTGTTACAAGCCCAAATCTCTGAGGAAATAAAAGTGCTTCAAATTACTTTGACATGCTATAAGAGCAATTCAACTTCCTGTACCTCCTTGGATCAGGAAATGGCTGAAAAACTCTTACCTGAAGCAAGCAACGATACAGTTTATTAGTTATACTGCCTGACTGAAATTCGGCACTCATAAGTAAAACTACAGTGTTAAAGAACATGACACACACAGCTAGCTAACATTGCTAACCTTACAGTAGTTTTCAAAGATAATGCGGGTAGATTAGCGCTAAAATTACACTTCTACGACATGTTTAACCTTCGGTATTAGTTTTCACGAGTTAGCATTGACCATGCCAGAAAAAAATGCCAACTTTTTTAGACCGAAACGAGGATAAAATGTGGAATAAGACGGTAACAATGTCAACGTTACAGCAGTGTTCAGCAGCAAAGTTGAGCTAGCTTGTGACCTAGTTAGCTGTAGCAAGAAAACTAGCGGACTGGCGTCAGTACGTGGACAGCGAGCACCCTGAAACACACATCACACACTGCTGAAATATTCAGCTGAGGCTGTCAAGACTCACCGAGTGAACTGTGGTGTTGAAGCTGAAGGAGGCTCGGCGGCTAAAGGTTAGCTAGCAGGCTAGCAAGTTTTCCTCACTTGTGTCCACTGTAACGCTACTTTGAACGTTATCTGAGGTCTCTGGGTGTAGCTCTCTAATACGTACCAATTGTAGCTACAAGTTGTTCAAACGGACGACCTTCATAGCTGTTGTATTTCATATAAATCTCCACTCGTGACCGCCTGTCACCTAACTTGCTAGCTGCCTAGTTATGGAGCGAGAGTTGCTGGGCTGGCCTGTCTGACAACTTCATTTCCCTGTTCTCTTCTGCTCAAACTCTCGTCCTCTCCTCATCCCGGGGACACTGGGCGGGTATGTTTTGCTTTACAAAATGACTGCCACCCGCATTGGCCAATCACTTTGCCCGAGGTGAGGACATGGAAACGCCCTCTCCGCTCTGGGTGCGCTTGCATCATGGCTCTTCAATTTCGTGTGGGTGGGCAGATTAAAGAACACACTGGAAGCTTCATTTGTCGGAATGCCCTGTAACTGTAATCGAGTGCACCCGAATTATCAAAAAAGATAAGGCACAGAAATGTAGTTGAGAATTGTTAGGCTTTAAGATTAGACAGCCATTTTCATTTTATGTGTTTGGAACATAACTTTTATAAACAACGTAGAATATATGTGTAAAACATAGGAGAACATTTAAAGTTATATTTAATAGTAGTAGTTTTCCTTCATCAAGTTCTCAACATTAATCCAGCATATTGTGGGATATGCAATTAATACACCTCCTTTGCTAAATAACATACATGTTTTTCTTTATGCAATGCACCCCTCTCTAACACGCATTAAACGGGACATTTGATTACATTTAATTGAATCTAATTCAATTTAACATTTAATATAAACAAGTTCCTAGCCTTAAGTGATGCACATTGTTGAACAGTGTTGCTCTTTGTGGCTCCCATTTCATTCCAAAATCATTACAGATCCACCTCTGTGTAACATGTAGTTGATGGTATTTAGCAATTACTGCTCAGGTTCCATTACACAGAGGTGATGGTTGTCCTTTCTTTACTGTACAGTCTGTCTGGAGAAGACTCTTTGGTCATCATACAACTACAAGACTTTATGGAGGACAACCATTTTTTTCACTTGGAGCAGTCAAGCTTTTGATCTGGCCATATAGCGCTGCTGACATTCTGGTTTTATTGTTGACTATCTTGATAAAAAGCACCAACATGCAGCACAATTTGTACATCTGTAAAATACTTTTATGCTATTGATGGCAACATTTTGTGAAATACGCTGTTGTTTATTGGTTTTAGTGAACTGCATTCATGGTTTAAATCACATCTTTCAGATGCGTAGATCTTCTGCTTATTGCTCTTCTCTAGCTACCATAATAAAACAGTATCCATTTCACAATTGCATAATAGCAATGTTTTTTTTGAATGATGTGTTCATTTGACTAGTCCTTGTCTGGATTTAACATGTTAAGGGTGAAAACTTATCTTCGATTATCTATTTTCCAATCATACAAAATCAAACAATAGGCATTGCACTAATCATATAGGCTACCCTAAAAAGGAAACAACTATATTGATGTAGGCCTACATTGCATGACATTTGTTTGCCAGTGCTTTAATTCCCAGAAATGGTCTGTATATTCATAACATGTTTATTATGCTGTGTGAATACAATTTTAAAAAGAAACAATTAACTTAAACATATTTAAATCTGAATAAAGTGCGGCCCATCTTTGGGATATTGATGCTTCAGGATTTCCAGGAGGTATTTTTGTAAAGCACTTTTGCATCCTACATACTCAGACCTCCTGCATAATTTTCACGTTTGAAACATTTTAACAAACATTCGTGGACGCGACTTTTATTTTTGAAAGCCAGACCCGGAAGTGTCCAGCTGCCTTGAGCACAGCAGCTAGCTTGATGCTACTAGTGCGAAAAAGCCAACGATCACTTCTGAAGGACGGGAAGAAACACAGTCACTTCTCGGAACACTTTCCCATCTTTTCCACCTCCTCAGCGCCATAATAATTATATTAGCAGGTAAGATGTGAGCTGTGTGTCAGCGTGTTTCAGATACCCGCTGTGTTGTACGGCCTATTGTGGTTTCAGGCCGTATTGCTGGTGAACAAGCTGCTCTCTTTCACGGGGACACATCACGTATGGCGCTCTTTACTTCGAAACGGTTTGCGAACCCTCATGATCATTTCCCAAATTTAAAGGGAAATAAACGCTGTTTTTAGCATTTCAACAACAATACAATGTAGGAAGAGTCATATTTTCCTACCACCGACCTTATTTTCCTACAAGAAAAAGGCCTTGTGAGAGATTTTGGGGCGTTGAGATGTTCATAGTGAAATTAGTTTTCTGTTATAGCTGGTTTGTTGGAGAAAGAGACACACACCCCCTTTAATTCAAAACTTTTGTAGGAGAAATGTTAGCCGCTTTTTATTTTTCACTTGTTCTGGTGACAAATCGAACACAGTATGGATATAAAGGGCAGGATAATGAAATGAAAGCATGTTAGTGAGACAGAGGTTGAATTAAGGGTATTTGGTGTTATTTACACGGCAGTGTTGTGTGTGTAACGCTGCCTCCGCCGCAGTGAAATCCCGGCCCTGCTATCATGGCTGTAATGGCTCTATCAAGGCGTCGCTGCACACTGCTTTTGTGATTTTTAAATAACACCCATTTTCGCGTATGGACAATAGAGGATTAAGCACATATTTTTCTTATCATATTTAACATATATGTGGCGCCTGAGGCGATTTTTGAACAACATCAAACAGGCGATCTCTGCAATGGCAGCACATATAAAGAGGTTTGATCTCTATTTTAAAGAATACTGTGATGAAAATGCAACAAAGCTTGCATAATTTCCAAGGAAATTATTATTTATATATAATATAAAGGTTTGATAGAAATGCAGCTGAAAATGATACAATAGTGAATGTCCTGCAAATGCAGCTGTCTTTACTACTCATAAAAGGAACATCAGTCTAAAATTGCATATTTTCCACTGATTGCATTTTTAAAGTATATTATGTTATGGATGTAATGTGGGGCAGATGAGATGTGATAAACTAGAAGAGAAGACTTTGCGGAATAGCAAAACATGTTTCATCATTTGCAAAAAAAAACTACAAAACTGGACATCAGATTTCCTTGATCCTATTTCCTGTTCAGTCTGATTGATATGGGAGGGCTGTCAGTCTATGTTGAGAGGATATTGTTCACAGCTGCCTCCTTTAACAACAAAACATAGGCCTAAACAATATGGTTGTTATCCTCCTCAAACATACGAAGGATCTCAAAACATGTTGATATTTGTCAGCAGTTTTAACAGCAACTTGTTCCGTGGATTTTAGTTATCGTACATTGCATGTCATCAAAAACTTTCCTTAGCACAGTTGAATTAATTGAACTAGGTTGGGAAAATGTCAAGCTGTGATCCATCAGAGGTTTTGCTAGGATATCTTATACACTTCCTGAGTTATTGTAGGAAGCAGGGCTTTTCTTTGGTGCTCTTTGTTGGAGTTTCTTGGGGCTATGGTCAAAGTTTCGTTTCCAGCTGTTTCTGGGAAAGAGTTCCTAAAGGCTGCCATCCAAAATGATTTCACAATACTTGCATTTAGTTTTAGGACAAACTTGTTCACAGTGCATTTTCCTTTGGGCTGGCTGTTTGGTTAACATTACGTTTATGCAGATTTACATATGTGTATCCCTCGTTATGAACCCTTCAACCTGAATGTGTTTTATTTGCATTGCTTTCATGCTGATATTCGGCCATAACCTGAACCATTCAGACGTTATCTTCATTGCTAAGGACTCTGTGCATCATCTACAAACTGTATGTAGGTGATGCAACTAACAATTTATTTTCAATTTAACAAATATGTTGATTATCTTCTAGATTAATCTTAATATAAAATGTCAGAAATAAAATAAAAAATGCAATCCTGGTTACCCAAACCCCAAGGTAATGTCTTAACATGCCTGGTTCTGTCAGCCAAAAACGAACTATTAATTACAAATATCCCTTTTTAATATGACATGAGAGTATTAGGTCATCTTAGACTTACAAAACAGAATTCGCTGCCATTTTTGAATGAAAAAGGATTTTGACGGATAATCTCAAAAGTTGCCAATTCATCTTCTGTCAAACATCTGATTGGTTAGAAGACTAATTGTTGACTTTTAATTAATATGTCATCCTATTTAAATCATATTAGCTTTTATCTGAATGTGTATATAATGTATCTGAACCTGACATATATCCAGATGACATGGCAAGGCTGGAAAGTTAATTGTATAACTGCTTTAACAACATCTATTTGTAAGGATATACCAGCCTTCCATCCTTATCTCCTCTTACCTTTCACCTTTTTGTGATGTTTTTGTTTTCATTTATTAGAGTCTTGGTCCAACCAGAAAGCCTTCGGTCATGTCGGGACAGAGGAAAGGAGTGGCAGCACGGCTCCTTAAATGTGCCTTCTGCAGAACCAACCGGGACAAGGAGTGTGGTCAGCTGCTGCTGTCTGACGGCCAGAAGGTGGCAGCCCACCATAAGTGCATGGTGAGGAGAGATCCCTGCTCTCAACCCTATCACCCTTCAGCTAGAATAAGTCATGTTTACCTGAGAACCTTGTCAACTTTAGCCACAACAACTGTGGGATTTATGTTTTTCCGCCACAGTTCCTAATGAGAAAAAGCATATAGCCGGAATAAATGGTTCATATCCTATACATTATCTCGAAGGGCTCCAATTTGTTTCTTCTCCCATTGGTGATCATGACCTCCAAGTTGAGAAAACACCATTTAACAATATGGCATATAGAACTGACAAATGCAGGTTTTTATGATAAGTTTAAAAGAATCGATGATGACATGACATCTATGTTAACCCTTCCGCTTCATATTGAAAATAGTCCAACAGTAGTAGCATGATGAAAATGAAGATGCAGATATTGTACAACGTTCACATTTATACTTATTTCAAATGTCCCACGCAGCTTTTCTCCTCTGCCCTGGTCACATCTCACTCAGACAGCGAAAACATTGGAGGATTTTCCCTCGATGATGTGAAAAGGGAGATCAAGAGGGGAAATAAATTGGTAAGTAACCTCTGTATCTGTTTAGAAGAAGAGAGAACACATTAGATTTATATCAATTAGGCTACTTGTTTTTAGTAACAGTACCACACATCCAAGCACTTTACATACGTAAGAACATGCAGAAGCTGCTCTACATAACTAATAATAATGAATGATGATAAACCAATGTGTGTTTATCGTTTACATGTGTTGTATGTATATGGTATAACAGTATGTTTACTACAGAGGAGGTGTTGATACTACTAGCATTACAGCAAATCTCTCTAGTGTTTATGTTGATTACATCAGGTTTAAAAGGGGATAATCAGCTTTTATCCAGAAAGAAAGAACTAGAATTACAAGTTTTTGTTGGCTTAACACGTGTTGGCTTATTCCTAAATCTGACCAAATGTTGAATCCAAAATGGGGCATTTTCCCTATTTATTTTGCAGTTTCATCTTATAAGGCCTGCATATGGTTTTTTTTAAATGAAAGAATTGAGAAGTAATTTTAGATGTTAAATTGTAAATATTGGGAATGTGTCTTGCATACATTTTAAAATGTTCTAATTTGATTTTAGAATTGACTAATTATGAGTATAAATCCCAACTTTCATCTGAAACAATATTATATTATATTGATATTCGAGGCTCCTACAACACCATTGAAATAAATGCAGCTGCCTGCGATCAATATGAGACAATATCTTATGCCCACTTAACATAAACAGTAACACTTTTATGAACTCACAATAACAACTCAAATATATTTTGACAATTGTATCACTGGGCTAGAAGGAAATGGAGACACCAACCAATAAAAGTGCATCTGAAAGATGAGTTTTAGCCTTTGCATTGAAGATATTGGATCGTTGACCATTGATAACGAATAGTATATTATTTTCCCCGTCAGATGTGTTCTTCGTGTCACCGGGCGGGCGCTACTATCGGCTGTGACGTGAAGACGTGCCGGAGGACGTACCACTACTACTGCGCTTTGAAGGACAAAGCCCAGGTCAAAGAGAACCCCTCACAGGGGATCTACCTGTAAGAAGCCCCGCTGTGGATATTTCTTTACATACTATACATCTACAATAACACATTTTGTAACAACTATTAAATTCAAAGGTTTTTTTTTCTTCCATAACAGTGTTTACTGTCGCAAACACCGGGATGCCTCTCACGAAGGCATTGAAGGTAAAATATGCCTCATCATATGTCACATCACCAAACTGCCTGGATGATTGGATTAATAGTTTGATGCCTGTTTCTGAAGGAATTCCTTTTTAATCCTTACATACACATACACAGCAACACACACAGTGACATTTAGTTTCTGCATTCAAACCCATCCTAGTGCCCAAAGAAGTAGGCAGCTATAATACAGAACAGGGAACAGTGTGAGGGTCCATTTTATTGCAACTCCAATCTTCATTCCTTCATCATTGTATTTGTACTTCTTGATGTGGTTTACTTTCCTGTTCTTTGCATGTATGCTTCTTTTTACATAAAAGTTTGTCCTGATCATGACTGTTTGTTCATAATCAGATGAAGAGGAAGCTGTGGCCGACGAATCAGACGCGTCGCCTCCACAGAGCAGGGGCAGAGGGAGGTTTGAGAAGGGCAGATCCAGGGTAGGACCTCGTGGCCAATCAGAAGACAGCCGCTCAACCTCCTCACAGGTGGCAGACGAGGAGAGTTCCTCCCATGTAAGGCAACACGCCTGTTTGTCAAATGTTTGAAATGATCGTGATTTGGTGTCTGATTTGTAACGCTTTCACGTGTTTTTCCAGCGGGACAGGTCTCCTCTTCGATCCAGCCCGGGAGACGGCGGTCAGCGCTGTGGCTTCTGTCATGCCGGAGAGGAAGAGAATGAAACGAGGGGCATGCTTCACTCCGATAACTCCAAAAAAGTGGCGGCACACTACCGGTGCATGGTGAGACTCCTGTTGTGTGGGGATGTCTGCAGAACATTTAAAGCCGTTACATTTACAGTACAGTGCTAACACTCAGTAATTTATTACCGTTTCAGCTTTTTTCATCGGGGACAGTGCAGCTCACCACCTCGTCACGGGCCGAATTTGGAAACTTTGAAGTGAAAACAGTCATCCAGGAAATCAAGAGAGGGAAAAGAATGGTGCGACGATTCGTCTTACTTCTCATTTGTTTTGAAATAGTTTAAATACTACGTGCATTCTGACAAAAATTGTGTTCCTATTCCAGAAATGCACACTCTGCTCTCAGTTGGGTGCAACCATTGGGTGTGAGATTAAAGCGTGTGTGAAGACCTACCACTATCACTGCGGCCTGCAGGACAAAGCCAAGTACATTGAAAATATGGCGCGTGGCATCTACAAGTGAGCTCAAATACAGCTTTTAAATCAGTTAAAAATATATTGCATTAGCTTTACAACCAACACGAGCCAATTAAGGATGGATCACACAGCCAATGCTATTTATTCCATTCAGAGACTTCTTTTGAATGATTTGTATTTCATCCAACCACAAATGTGAAAAAGGGTGATATTAAAAGTAGAAGAGTTTTATTGTAAACACACATTTTATGTTACTCGCAGAAAATGCAAATATATTGGATTTATTTTAAATTCTCGAAAATTGTTTTTATTTTATTTTACATTTGTAGAATGTGCATTTTCTAAGCTAACTTACAAGTCCTCCTCCTGCCTGTCTATGAAACATTTACATTTTACATGTGTACTCACCAACGGCTGTTTGTCAATGGACCGAAACTAGCAGCAGGAATGTGTATTGTGCCACCCTTGGTAGAAACTCCATAGAGCACCTTTAACTCTACGTCTTCACACCTTAACTGGACCACATTTCACCTCTTTTGCAATAACTGATAATGTTGGCTATTACTGTGTTTTGTGACTTACAAGCCCTTCTTTGTATGTGTGTGCATTTGTTTGAAGACTATACTGTAAGAACCACAGTGGCAATGAGGAGAGGGATGAAGAGGATGAAGAACGAGAGAATCGCAGTCGACAGAGAGCAGAAAACAACAACGGAGGAACACCGTCAACGCAAGTCAATGGCAACTAGGTACGTTTTTAGTGGTTGTTGCACACAATACATTTTTTTACAACATTTAAAATGTCTGCGTTTAATGTCTATGGAAGACTATTAAGGCCAGGTAAAGTGGAGGGGGAATACTTTTATTTTGTATTTGCCTGAGAAACAAGTTAAGGACATTCGCTAATGCTAGTATATTTGATTTAATCTCAGAACTCTGTCACCCTTCATATTTTTAACTTAATTCTCATCATGCAAAACCTCTACAGAGAAAAGGTTTTACTCATTATGATTGGCACGAATAGTCTTCCGTAAATATCAAACACAAGGTTTCTGTGTTTATTTTTTTATCATTGTTGGAATTGCCAAAAGATTGGGTTTTCAGATTTCCTTTCATTTCATTGCTTCGATTCTTTCAGGTTAGCCGGATGGACGTGATGTGGGGACAAGACAGAAGAGCTCAAAGACGAGGAAGACATATCTTTTTATACTAGATCTTAGCTTACTCACAAAGTCGTGGTCTACAAGCTCCCGCAAGTCCTTCACATGTTTTCTTCCAGTAAACAAACACTATGTGCAGATGTCCCCTTCATGTGAAACCCTGTAAAGAGTTGACTGGATGAGCTTTTCACAGCCTGGTGGCACTCTGCAGACTGCTGCTAGATCATGAAAGAAGAGCCATTTTCAACAAGACCCAATGTTTAGTTCAATTTCATTGCATTGTTTCTGTGAATGAGAACCGATGGACTGATCTTCTGATTGTCACTCACTGCCCATTTATCCACAGATTACATGACACACACACACTTGCTGAAATCGATGCATTCTTGCTCTTCCTTCGCTTCTACAGGACTCACTTTTAAGAGGAGTCTGTTTGTTACTCGTCTCTTTCAAGTGGTGCGGTTTGATTAGCTTGTTTCTGTAATCATGTCTTAAAGAGTACTCTTTTCATGCTAGCCTTTCTCTTGATATGTAATATTTTGCTACCGTGTTATCATTCATGAGACATTTTGAATATCTGGATTTTCAGACGGTCAAGTCCAAGTTTTGCCAGCATGCCCTTGGATTCTCCCACTGTTCAAGGTGGCATTTTTTTTATTTAGTCACAAAAGGGCAAAGTAGAGCCCTTTAGAGAAGGTGGCTTGACTTTGTTTGATGTACTGTTACTTGTATCTCTACCAATGTATCCATGAATGTTGGGAAATAGAAAATATTTTATTTTACACATTTAATGAGTCAATTGAGTCTTTCATTGGACAGTGTCTCTGTAGGCGGCCTCTTACGCAGAGCAGCACTCATAGCTACACGGTGTTAAAAAGTGAGGAATCTCACAAGTCAGGCCTTTACATTCACACCTGTACGTTGTATGGATCATTTTGGGCATTTAGTTTTATATAGATGTACACATTTTATGAACTAACAAGTCATCATTAGGTCCAAGTTATAAGATCTTATATTAAAACCTGAAATAAGTTTGAATGTTTCAGAACTGAGAGTAGCTCCTCTGTTTCATTTCTGCCTTGCATTGGTACACAGCTTACTCTAACAGTAATACTAGTGTGATTGCCCTCTGATGGCAAAAGGTAGATGTCTCTGAATAACATTATTATAGAATTTTAGAAAGTTAACATGACCCATAGGCAGAGCTGTAGCCAGGTCTTTAAAAATAAGGAGGTATTGAAAGCACTATTAGTCATTGTGAAGTTAACATACATACTTTGAAGGCAACACGTGCCCTTTCATTAGCTTTTGATTGCTACAAGGTCTAATACTTACTTACTTATACTGAATGTACAGTTTAAAATGTTTGTTAAAAAAAAATAAAGAAGCCTTGCCCTATCAATTACACATGTATAGAATTTGGCTAAAATAAAAGATTGATGATTTAATTGTGCCTTATCCCCGAAATATGTCATACACGATGATTCCAAATATAACGCGTTCATAAAATAATTATATATTTGTACACAATGTCAATAATATAATCAAAATAATGATTTGAAATATCTTTTCATGTTTTGTATATACTGAGAATGCCAGAAAAAGGGGCACAGTTTCAGGCTGTACGTGTGCAAAAAGCAGTTCTTTTTATTAAGTTACTTGAGAAAATGCATTACAGTGTAAAACTTGAAACGAAACCTCTTTAATTTCATTTTTTATACAGTATTTGTGAGGAAATGTAAAGATTTTCTCCATGGAATATTCTTAGTAACAAGGTGCTCCAAAATGTGAGGAAATAAATAAGTGACCCTCGTGGCCTAGTGGCTACAGTCTCGCATAATTAACATGAGACATGATGCGCATTTTCCCTTGAAAATGTAAATTGTACAGTACAGTTTTATTCAGCAGTCAAATGTCATGCTTATGAGGTACAAACTGCCTTATCCACTTATGTTCAGAGACAATGACAATGAGTTGTATATATATATATTTATATATATATTTATATTCTTACTATCTATACTGTAGTTGAGAACCAGAACTTGGCAGTTTGCGCCCTCACAGCCGGGCGGGGCTTTTCCGTTACTGCGCATTTGATTTGTCAGTGGTGCTCCTGCGTCATCATTCCACACAGAGCAGCCGAGCTACAGTAGAGCTACGGAGATACGGGCCCGCACACCGGAAATAGAAAGCAGCCTCCTGTAGCACTAGCCAACCTCCATGTGTGTGCTGTCATAAGGGTGAGGACTCCGCGAAAACACAATACATTTATCTCTCCTGAATTTGAAGACCACGGAAGACTTAGTTCAAACCGAACGACAGGGACCGACACGGACATGGCGACATCCAGCCCCTGTGTTGTGGTAAGTGCTCCCAGCAGCAGAATGAAATTAGAAGGTGGTCGTAGATTACCTCTGAGCGCCCACTGGAACAACACACTGTACCCGAGCGACACTGCGTTTGATAAATATGCTACACCTGCTGTTGAATATTTGTGGTAAATAACCTGTCTTTGTGTGCTGTATGCTCACCATGGCAGCGTGTTTTCTCAGACACACAGCTGCAGTGCGTCCTATGTGTAGCGTGGCCTGCGGCCATGGAGACAAACATGCGCTCCGCACGCTTTCCGTACATGACGCAGGAGACGCTTAAGGCTTAAGGATGGACATATTCAAACCTAATGTGCGGGTTTCTGTGCATGACAGCACATTGCAGGTTTATTAGTTAGTGTATTACAAGATTGTACATAACAGCAGCGAGAAAGCATAAAAACCATGATAAAAACACGAGCTGCAAGTAAGGGGGCGTATTTAAGCGCGCTTCTTCAATAGGCTGTGTCTTAAAGAATAGGTAATAAACTGTTTAAAGTAGGTTTATGTTATGTGTGTAATGGACATACAATAAAGCTGATTGTCTTTGGAAAGATGTCAACACATTACTTTAAATACATTCAGTGTCTACAGTTGTAACGCATTTAGGGTCTGTACAATCATATCATATAATATCTACATACATGCCAACCTTTCCAAATCCAAAAAAAGGTAGGTTTGCGCGTGGCAAATGTGCACGCCCAAATGAGGTAATCAAAAGAAATGGAACCACAGTAATTACAGGTATAAACCATGTATTTAATATATTGCATTACTTTTTGCATTTTTCACAAAAATTGGTCATACATCTATTAGAGAATACAAATATATCATGCAAGGTCAAACAAAAATGAGAATCTAAAATAGTGCAAGAAAATAAGGAATAACAGAAATTATTAGTTATATTAATTAATAAAATGCTTTTAAACAAGAATGTAGCACATTGATATGCATAATGATTATTATAGACGTATGCAAATGTGTAAAAAGTTGTTAAACATTCATTAGAAAAACGTTGAGTGACAATATAATGGTAAAACAATATAATAGTAGGGAGCTTTTTGGATGCGTACAGTGGTTGTTTTGTTTCTCTAAAGAAACTGGAAAGGTTAATTTAATGGTGTTTCTATGTATGAAGGCGATTATGTGTTGTATGATACAGCACATGTTAGGACCTCTGTAGTCTATGAATTATTTGTAAATCTTTTTCTAGATAACTTCACTGACCACATTTTGAAGTCAGTGTTTTGTTGTTATGAAGACTTGCTGACACTATGGTCAAGCTAGTTGCAAAGTTTGCCCAACAAAAGATAGTAGAAGATCCTGTCTCCTGTGTCATATTTCAGATACAGTTGCAGAGTGAAGTGTTGCCTAACATGCTCTTTGTTCACACAAACCGCAAGGTCAACCTTTATGAACTCTTACTCTTTCATTGGGATGTGTATGTTAAAAATATTCTTTATGATCCTGACAGTAAATCAATAAACAAAGGCTTTGAATATAAATTGTAAAAAAATCTGGTTTCTCTGACTGGCTGTTGCAGAATGTTACACGTGTCCAATCATTTTCCTGGGGCATACCTTCCTTCGCCTGCCCTTTTTGCACGTAACCAGAGTCTTTCATAACCTGCTAGCTTGACTGATGTGAGTGCTAACAACAGCCATGTTTGTTGATTCATAAAGATAATGGCGGGTTAACGTCCAACAGTGTAAACTCCTCCTTCAGACTATGTTATAGTGAGGACATCTGCTCAGTATCAGTGATTATTATTTTGCAGTGAAAGGGTGAAGCCCAACAGATGGACATGTTTTTTTTATTTTGGTGGGCATAAGGTGAAATGCTTTGTTCTGGTTCAATCACAACTCTTTGCAATCTAGTGTTTAGTTTAGCAATAAGAATGTGTTGCCTTGGGAGAACACTCTGATTCCTGGGTGCGGTTACAGTTACTCACATCACTCCCACATAACCTCAGGCTCTACACCAGCTTCCCAGCTGTCACATGATATCAGTTATGCTGTCTGGGTTCAAGTAGCAGGCAGTTTGAGAATCTACTGTGGTATGTATTTACAACCACTGACTGTTGCTTGCTAAACTGTACAAATAACGTATTGTTTTCAGAGTATGTGGCTCTAGAGGGAGGCAATCAAATCTACGTTGGCTGTGGATGGGAAAGTAGCTCTGCGTTGACCTTTTCATCCCATTCCCCTCATACTACCCTGTAACAGATGAATGTTAGGTAATACCCCTGAGATTTTCTTTTTTAAACCCCTTTGTGTTATGTTTTATTTCAGATCAGTGATGATGAGCAGGGGTATGACCTGGACTTGTTCTGCATACCAAAGCATTACGCAGAAGACCTGGACAGGGTCTACATCCCCCATGGACTCATTTTGGACAGGTGGGGGTGTCACTTTTCTAGCACTTTCTTGTAGGATAGAGAAAATGTGATACATTGTTGGGGTCAACTAAAAGACTAGTGTGCCCAAACAAAGACCCTGTGGGATGCCAAGGTGTTCAGTAACTGGTGGGTCAAAGTGCCGACACTACCTATATTTCTAAGTGTTTTTAAATGTCTCAAAAATATATATCAGTTAATCTTGTACTTCCTGGTTTTATTGGCAAATTTGCTATTTAGTACTGCATATAACCTTTTTTGTTGTTGTGGTGATTTCCATTGTCCGGCTTTGCTTTACTTGGGAGTGCTTTAGAAATTAAAGCTTTGCCTGCTGACACAAACAAAAAGGAAATGGGAACTACTGCTGACTGTAGCAGAAAACTGAGCTGACTCTCCTCTCCCTCTCTTTCCCTCTTCCCCTGTCCCACGTGACCACAGGACAGAGAGACTGGCCAGAGAGATTATGAAGGAGATGGGGGGGCACCACATTGTGGCCCTCTGTGTGCTCAAAGGTGGTTACAAATTCTTTGCAGACCTGCTGGACTACATCAAGGCACTGAACAGGAACAGTGACCGCTCCATCCCAATGACAGTGGACTTCATTCGCCTCAAGAGCTACTGTGTAATAAATCAGTTTCTGTCTTTCTTTCTTTTTACATCGCCTAAGACATACTGCATTTTTTATAAAAGCAGATACCTTTACTATAGTTGATTTGCTTTACATGATTTTAAAATGTCAATGCTCAAAGGGAATCCTCTAGAGTTGTTGACTTACTCTTTTTGGAAGAAAAAAAGTTTACATGCTTTTTCGCAATGTATAAGTATCTCCTGTGTGCACACAAGGATGTATGTGAATGGACATGCGGGCGATTCACTAAGATTGGTTTCCTGCATTTTCACTGAAGTCAGTGGTGCAACAATGTGCTGGCAAAGGTAGGAAATACTTTGTGTTCCCAACTATGCATGTAAACAAGGCACGATTTAAGAGCCAACATTTGGTTTTGTAATTCATTTTATGAGGAAATGC